TACAGTATATAGGAGGGTATGTATAGGTTCATGCAAATGTTACACCATTTTGTACAAGGGACTTGAGTATCTGCAGATTTTAATGTCTATGAGGGTCCTGGAACTATCCCTCCAGATACCAAGGGATGACTGTATAAATACTGGAAAGGAGACCAACCTATGATATGATTTACTTAAAAAAATCCAGAGAATCACTTAGTAAAGTATTCTGCAAGGCAACCAGATATAAGATCAACATACAAAATCAGACTTTTCTATGTATCAGCAGTAACAGAAAATGGAAATTTCAAATCTCATTTCATTTTTACCACAACCCCAAGGAGGGTCTTAGCACATTTTACAGATGTGAAAACTGTAGTTAAAAGTTAACTTGGCCAAAATCACAGTTTGTAATTTGCAGAGCAGTGATTCAGGTACCCCATTGAGTTTCTGTTACTCAGTGCCTCATATTAGGTTGCTAATTTGTTAATTGGACTCCCTTTTAATAATTGGCCTGTGCACTGAGTCAAACCCAGAATCAAGATTTCTTTGGGGGCACATTCACGGGTAGCAGCTGTTGTGGTTGCTGCATCCCAGCACTACAAGGCCTCCCACATGCAGGCTGTACCCAGCTCACGGTGCCCAGTGAGCAGTGTGAAAGGCTTACATTGACCCACACTCTCTCAGTATGCAGGGAAGCTTTCTGTTACCCTTTCTTGTAGGAGCCAAGGTCCCCAAGCACTGAGGAGCTAAGCCCCCATGATGTTCTCAGAGGACCTCTGCTTCCGATCTTCATGAGCTCAAAGCTGTAACAATTCAGAGACACCCACCAGAGGGCAAGGAGAGGTTAAAACCCAGCTAGACTGCACGTGTGACCACCAGGTCATTTTAGAGCTGAAAGTGCAGCTGTCGGGTTGGGAGGTTAGTAGGTAGCATTAACTTAGCACACAAACAACAGGAAGGTGTTTGAGAATTTTGCTTGTATATCTGTGTATGTGCATACTTCAGGTGGGTTGTTTTTCTCAGGCTTTGGAGGGAAACCACAAGCAGCATTGCAGGAGAACCAGTTCCCTACTTTCTTGGAGATGCCCTATAGTAATTTCTTTTTTTTAAATCCGTACTACTTTGTCTGATAGTAAAGATCAGAACCAAGCCTCAACTCTGACAGTTTGAGACCACCCTGGATCACTTGGGGACGCTAGGGCTGGCAGCAGGAGAGGAACTCCGCCAAGCCTTTAGCTAGGCCCTAGGGGAATGGGGAACTGTGGACACACCTCTCCAGGCTTTCTGGGCCTTCTTGCTCCTTTGTTCCAATTAATTATTAGATTGGGAGATACCAGATGTACTTGCTGGGTCTGACATCCTCTGACAAGAGTCTGGGGACTTTGGACTTGACCCTGCAGAGCAGGAAGTAGCTGCTGAGTTCAGGACAGTCAGATGCATCAGAAGGTGACATTTCTGATTGGCTCACGAATACTAGGAAAAATGGGTGTGCTTCACTTCTCAGAATGACTTTCCACACATTGTTAATCTGGACGTGGGTCACTGAAAATAGGGTGGATTGGAGGAACAGATGACTAACACAGAGGTAACTGTGATATGTTAACTGTTTCTGAGAACTAAATGCTGACAGCATGTTACGAACTTCAATCCAGGGGTGACTCCTAACTTATTAGATGACTGTAATGTAGCTGTTGAGTAAGAATTCAGTGCTTGAAGTTCAAATCATGCTAAAGGGCCCTTATCTAGTCATTCAGAAGGTATTTATTGAGATGTTAAGAAACCTTTGTACTATGAGACGTCACCTGTAACTCCTAGGTTTGTATAAAGCAAGGGTGTACCTTCTTACATGGAAAAGTTGTCCTTGGGGTAATTGCAACAAAATACCTCTCAGAGTAAGATTGAGGCTCACCTGAGTCTGGAAGCAGAAGTGTGGTCCTCCTTGCAGTCCAGGAGCCAGCATTTCAATCCCAGCTCTGCCGTTGACCTGTGCACAAGAGGCTGCTGCAGCCTCTAGCTTAGTCTCAGTTTACCATGTGGAACCAAACCCAAAAACCCACTGCCACTGAGTCAATTCCGACTCATAGTGACCTTGTAGGACAAAGTAGAACTGACACATCTTCTCCCACAGAGCAGCTGATGAGTTTGAACCACTGATCTTTTGGTTGGCAACTGAATGCTTAACCGTTGTGTCACCAGGGCTCCTTCTGTGTGTGATGTGAGATGGTATTTACTTATAGTGGTGTCATGGTGAGGAATTGTGGCCTTGCTTATAGTAAGCACTCACACCACGTGAGATTATTGAGAGCCTTTGTTCTGTCTGATCATCAGCCACCACATGATAAAAGAGGAGGGCAGTCCATGCTGAGACTAAAGAAAGGTGGATGAGATTAGACTGATAGGCAGAAATTTGGAAAAGTAAACATTCTTATATATCAGTTTGTTCTCTTTCAGATACTAGGATTTGAAGGGCTCCGGTAAATAGCCCTCTTTCCTATCTGTGTTCTAAACCAATTGAGAAAAAAAAAAAGAACAAACAGTAAGACAGATGGGGCATGTTCCACCACTGATGAACTCGATCCTGGTTTACATGGCTTACATTTGTGGGCAAGTGGACAACCCAGGACTCAAGCCCAGGATTATATAGACCTGTCCACTCAGACCCATGGCACTTTAATCCTTATGACCTCCCCATAGTGAGGCAGCCCTCAAACTCCAATTGCAGCCAGGTGGTCAGAAGAATGGTTGGCAACACAAGCTCTTTGCCAGTCAGGTGGCTCCCAAAGGAAGAAAGAGGGATGTGGCCAACTCTGTAGGCTGAAATCCACTCCACTTTCTATGGGGAGCAATGAGTGAGGGAACAGAGAGGCCAGGAATGTTATACATATGGAACTGCAGCCACAGACAAAGAATCGGGAATAAGGGAAAGGTGCACCCATGGTAAACCCAAGTCATTCCGGCTCAGGTTACATCATTGGGACGTCCTCGGTGGATCTAGCATTCTGGACTACATCCCAAAGGCCAGGTGATGTCTGTGGGGACCTTCCTTGCTCATTTCTGCTTTACTTCATTTTCAGACAGGCTCTTTCCGCGTACCCTCACCAGGATCCTAGGATTATAGGTTCCTTAGATCATTATTTCAGATACAGAGGCAGCATCTCTTCTATTCTCTCTATCAAGAATCTCTGTACAAAGGAGAGCTGTAAAGGGCAGAGAGCCTAAAGTAATGGTGATGTGGCATAAAGGTAGAATGAGATTGGTCACACAGTGTGAAATGTGTAACCAATGTCATCAAAATGCAAAGGTAGAAATTTTAAGTGGGTACGTATTTGGTTATGTATACTAAAAGGTAAATAGAATATTAAAAAAAAAAAAAGAAGAAAGAATCTCTCTATCAGCTCAGAGAGGACTGTGTGTCATACTTGATTTAGTCATTGTGTATTAGGAGATCGAAAACAGCCCCACATCATATGGACTAAACAATTAAGGAAGAATCGTGGGGCGGGGTTGGGTGGGGGGGGGCCAATTCCCCAAAGAGTTGCTGCATGAGACGAGGGTCCATCTACTACAGCCTGCCAACACACAGAGTTTTAAAAGTTGCATGATGGAAATACAGGTATTCTTCCTTTATCTTGCTTTCTCAAAGTTCCAATTTTCTGAGCATTTATTGTCTTATAAATGAGGAGGGAGAGGAAGATAAAAGGAATTTTTCCATAAATGCTTGTTTTTAACCCTGCCTTGCCCACAAGGATTTTTAGGCAGCTACCAAAAATGAGTGAAATGAATAAGCAAGTGAGACAAAGGAGACATAAGAGTAACAAGCAGCTGCAGGCAAGAAGGAAGGCCTCTGGGCTTGTAGGAGTCCCTGGGTGTGCGAATGGTTAGGTGCTGGGCTACTGACTAAAAGGTTGGAGGTTCGAGTCTGCTCAGAAGCACTTCAAAAGAAAGGCCTGGTTATCTACTTCTGAAAAAATCCACCCTTGCAAACCCTCTGGATCACAGTTCTACCCTGACACACGGGGTCACCATGAGTTGGAGTTGACTTGATGGCACGTGGTTTATAGCTTCATGTCAAGAGAAACCTTTTCTTTTCATCTGTTTGGGGAAAAAGAAAAGATACATCTCACTAAGGATGTAGAAGCTGAGGTGGGGATTCTGAGGGGCCCTGGTTTTAAAGACGGTTGCTAACTGCATTTAACAAAGTGCTTTATGAGTACATGGGCCCTGGCAAAGGGGTGGTGTGAGAGTGGCCGTCGCCTGCTATCCACTGGCCTATGTCACAGTCTCAGGTGGGAGAAGGAAGCATTGGTATATTGGTGGCAGGTGAGGCACCTTTGCCCAGGGCCACAGCCCATGCTGATAGCTGATCATTTTCCAAATACACAGTCATGGAGGCTCTAATCATTACTTGTTGCCTCTACTGGGAAAATAGCTTCGCATTCATCCTCTTGACACAGTGCCTTCTCCCCTCTGTGCACTGGGTCATCTGCAGTCATCCTTCTCGCTCCTAGTTTAAAATGACCTCCAAGGCTGGCCTCCAACCCAAAGATGACAAAACTTCTTCCTAGAAAGTCAGTACCTATGCTACCCCAGAGGCATTCTTATGTCTAAGAATTTCCCAGGCTGGGATTAACTCCACATATAAACATTTGGTTTTAATTTTGCAGGGCTACAAGTGAGGTAACCGTTCTTGATAAACTGGAGCACACCAGTGGGGGCCCCTAGTGTGTACACCTCTTCCCCATGCCTGGTCACTGCTCCCACATTTAAGAAAACAAACTTTCCAGGGTCTGGTGGCTTCTTTTCTCTACCCTTCAAGCCAGCCTCATCATGTTTTGACAGTCTGGCCCTTTAGGGGTCCTCTTGCCTCTCACAGCCAGGATAAACTCAAGATTTTGGGAAGTCCAACAAGATGCCCCAACTGGGGAATAGGTGGTATTTGAATAGTGCATATGAAGGTTTGATATGTGGCTGATTTTTTTGTTTTCAGTTATTATTAACTATTGGTGTCCTCCCTCCAGACAGCTACAGACAGTTCTTCTAACTCCTCTCAGAAGAGGGAACAACCTACTCGGACAATCTCCTCTCCTACATCATGTGAGCACCGGAGAATCTACACCCTGGGCCACCTCCATGACCCATACCCCACGGACCACTATCACCTCGAACAGGTAAGCAGCCATCTCATTCCTCTGAGGTCAATGGAGTGGATGGTTCCAATTCTAAATAGTTTCCTTCCTCTCCTACTCAACTAAATGCCTCAAGCCCCCCAGGCCTCTTCCATTTTCCTACTTTGTATCCCACCCCATATTGGAGGGGATTGGTGGCAGCTCCCCCTTACGTAGAGTTTTCTAGGTGCCAGGTACCTAGCCAAGGTTTTTCTATACTTACCTCATTTCATTTTCACAAAATTACCCCACAGTGCAGCTACTCAACATTCCCAGTTTATAGATGAGGAAACTGAACTTAGAAAGATAGAGCAAGATTCAAACCCAGGCTTACCCTCACCTCAGATGCTGCACCACCTCCCCCATCCTCAGAAGAGGACTTCGTAAGGGCCTCCTGCCTTGGTGTGAAAATACAGACCTCACCATTGGAAGAAAGAATGCCTTATACTTGCTTCAAGCCCCCTGGCATCAGGGTGCAGGCCTAGTCTTGCTCAGGAACAGAGCTAGAGTCTAGAATGCAGTGATTTGATAAATATTCACTGAACAGCTACCCTGAAGAGCAGGTTCCCAAACTGAGAGGCATAGACCAGTACCTGGTCTGGGTGGTAGTGGGGGAATGTGCCCACCAGTCTGCTTTGAACTAAAACCAAAAGAGCTCAGGGTAGTGAGTTTTTTGTTTTCAAAACATAACCTACCCACTGCTATCAAGTCAACTCTGATATACAGGAACCCTATAAAACAGAGTAGAACTGCCCCATGTGTTCCCAAGGCTCTAAATCTTTACAGAAGCAGACTACTTCATCTTTCTCTTACTGAGTAGCTGGTTGGTTCAAAGCACCAACCTTTTGGTTAGCAGCTGAATGCTTTAACCATTGGTCTACTAGAGGTCCTTTTTTTTAACATAAGCTAGATTTATTTGACTCCTTTAAAAAAAAAAAAAAAAAAGTTTATTATGTGCTTCCTAATGTTTTAGTATTAAAATGTTCTTTCTTTAAATCACACTATGGTAGCACTAGGTTGGAATTGGTTCTTTGACTCTCCCTGTTTTGCAGAGTAAAATATTAACAAAGCCTGGGTCAGCTGCCATGATTCAATTTGAAAAGCTACTAATTTTTATTTTTTCAAGTCTGAGAAATTCTGATGCCAAGAATCTGTAGGGATTAGGACAGAGTAGGTCAGATGTAGCTCCTGCCCTCAAGGAGATCATGGACTGGCAGGAAACATGGGTAAATCTAATCACCATTATGTGATAAATTCTGTAACAACATTATAGTGACTATTACAGCAACAGGTATCAGATGCTTCCTTGGTTAGGCTCTGTGTTTGACATTCACCCTGTTGTCGTTAAGTTGCCGTCAATTCTGACTCATGGTGGTGACCACTTGTGTGCAGAGTGGATCTGCTCCATAGGATTTTCAAGGTTGTGACCTCTCAGAAGCAGATCACCAGGCCTGTCTTCCAAGGCACCTCTGGGTGGGTTTGACGTGCCAGCCTTTCAGCTGCTAGTAGTCAAACACTTAACTGTTTCTGCCACCCAAGGACTCCAACATTTCACCTAGATTATTTCTTTTCATTCTCACAACAGTTGTAAGTAGTGAGAAACTGAGTTTTAGCAACTTGCTAGTTAATTCTGTAGTCAAGATATGAGTGGCCCTACTGCAACTATGGGTCTGTCCTCATCCACAGCAAGAAGAATGAAAAAAACCAAAGATGCACAGAAACAATTACTCCAGGGGACTAGTGGACCATACAAACGTCTGCCTATATGACCATTAGACCAGAAGAACTAGTTGGTGCGTGGCTACCACTGTCAACCACTCAGAAAGGGATCAATGCAGGAGATCCTGGATAGAGTGCAGAACAATGTGGAACAAAACTCAAAATCATAAAAAAGACCGAGTTTACTGGTCTGACAGAGCCTAGTGAGACCCCTGAGACTATGGCCCTTAGTTACTGTTCAGGTCTGGAACTGAACTCACTCCCATGGTTTCCAGCCAAAAACAATAGACAGGCATATTGGGTGAACATTTATTTCAGGTAGATATACTCCTTAGAACAGTCAGTCATGGGAGAACAGAAGGGCAGTATTTGTACAGGGAGATAGCTCAGGGGGCAGTAGTGCATAGGAAAGAAGGACACAGGGAAGAGGTAAATACAGGGAAAAAGTGGAAAAAGAGCTGTTACATTGTGGGGATTACAGTCGATGCCATGAAACAAAATGTGTATGAACTGCTGTATAGAAAATGTTGCTCTGTAAACTTTCACCCAAATCACAATAAAAATTATTAAAAAAAAAAAAAAAAACATGGATATCTAGTCGATTCCAACTCATAGGGACCCTGTAGGACAGAGGAGAACTTCCCCATAGGGTTGCTAAAAAAAAAAAAAAAAGTAAGATTCCAGTGCGTTCACCCCAGAGCCAGGAGCCTCAGCCCTAAAAAAAAACCCTCATACCTAAAGGACTTCAAAGGTGGGAGATCTGATTGTCTGCCACAACTCAGATGCCCTGTGCAGGACAGGCTTATACACATTTATTCAGTAAATACTTACTCAGCACCTGCTGCTCTAGGTAAGGCACTGTTGTAGACTGTGGCAGGAATAACTGCAATGAAGATTTTTTCCCCCAAGGAAGAATGCAGCTTGTTTCAAGGCTGGGGGTTGTGGCCCTGGGGCTGGCCTGCCTGGGCTCAGATTCAAGCTTGGCCACCCACCCTCTGTCAGATCCTGGCAGGATTCGAACCCAGGCAGTTCACCTGCACTCATCCTTTTCCTGTTTCTACATCTGTCTTCCCAACCAGATTCTGAGGAACTTGTAGGCCTTATGTTTCCTAGGATCCCCTGTTGCTTTTTGAAACAAGACTCACAGTAAGAAATGTGTTTTATATGATGACCCCGTACTCAGAGTATACACATAGGTAATGAAAAGTTACATGAAACACTGTTGTTATTGTTGTTGTATGCTGTCGAGTCAGACCCGACTCATAGCGACCCTCCTTGGGTTTCTGAGGCAGTATCACTATGGAAGTAGATTGCCCTATCTTCCTTTCGAGGAGTGGCTGGTGGGTTTGAACCGCCAGCCTTCTGGTTAGCAGTCAAGTGCCTTAGCCACTATGCTACCAGAGCTCCCATATAATATAAAGTGACCTGTAGTATTCTGTTCATAGTTAAAAAAAAAAAAAGCCAGTCTTACAAAAGAGAACAAACTAAATACAAAAACAGGTGAAACTAGCTAGCAATTCATGTTCTATCTCTTGATTTGGGTGTGTTCAGCTTGTGAAAAGTCATTAACCTGTACTCATGTACTTTTTCTCTGTAGTACATGTTCTGATTCCACACAAGTGTCTATCTCTACCCAGTAAAATGATTTCTTGAAGCAGTCATGGATTGAGACTTGCAATTTGAAATATGTCTTTGATCTTCAAAATTGTTCAGTAATTCTGTTGTTGTTGTTGTTATGTGCCATCGAGTCAGCCCTGACTCATAGCGACCCCTCCTTGGGTTGCCAAGGCAGTATCACTACGGAAGTAGATTGCCCAGTCTTCCTTCTGAGGAGTGGCTGGTGGGTGGGTCAATTTCTTCAAGAAATGCCTTGGTCAAAGTGAAAGGTACATCCTTGGAGAATCCGGGCAGAGGGTGTTTTTATTCAGTGCTATAAAATACTTTCTCCTTTCTCCTGGCACAGCCGATGCCAAGGCCCTACCGCCAGGTGAGCTTCCCGGATGACGATGAGGAGATCGTGCGCATCAACCCCAGGGAGAAAATCTGGATGACAGGATATGAGGACTACCGGCACGCCCCGGTTAGGGGCAAGTACCTCGACGCCTCAGAGGATGCGGACTCCTACGTGCGCTTTGCCAAAGGCGAGGTGCCCAAACACGACTATAACTACCCCTACGTGGACTCCTCGGACTATGGCCTCGGTGAGGACCCCAAGGGCCGCGGGGGCAGTGTGGTCAAGACACAGCCCTCCCGGGGCAAGTCCCGGCGGCGGAAGGAGGACGGGGAGCGCTCCCGATGCGTGTACTGCAGGGACATGTTCAACCACGAGGAGAACCGGAGGGGCCGCTGTCAGGACGCTCCCGACTCCGTGAGAACTTGCATCCGCCGGATGAGCTGTATGTGGTGTGCGGACAGCATGCTCTATCACTGTATGTCGGACCCCGAGGGAGATTATACAGACCCTTGCTCGTGCGATACTAGCGACGAGAAGTTTTGCCTCCGGTGGATGGCTCTTATTGCCTTGTCTTTCTTGGCCCCCTGTATGTGCTGTTACCTGCCCCTTCGGGCCTGCTACCACTGTGGAGTGATGTGCAGGTGCTGTGGCGGGAAGCACAAAGCGGCGGTATGACTCTGTTTCCTTCCTTTCCCCTCCTCCATCCACAGTCACAAGAGAACTTCTCTTCCTTACTCTTCCCTTCTCCCTTCCATTCAAAGGAGCAAAGAGAGCAAGAGGCCTCCGAGCTCCCTGGTACCTTGAGGCACCATTCCAGCCTGGGGAACCTGTCTGGTGGACTCTCCACTCGACCCCAGCCATCCATACTGCATCAGTCACATACCCATGCACACATGCAGGCACAGTGTTCTAAGGAAAGGAACCTTCCACATAGACTCATGTATTAACAACAATCTGTAATCAAGCTAAATGTCTTATAACTGTGTTTATTTCCTGTCTTTCCTCCCCACCTCTTCCAGTTCAAAGGAGTTGGCAGTCCGAACTGCTGATTTTTGGTGGGTTTTGTAGTGGATTTTTCAAAGAACATAGCAAGACTCCTTCTCTTGGTTCAGCTTGCCTGTTCCTAGCAAGCCTCGATTCCTGTGGAAAATGTGATGTCAGAATGATGAAACCCTACCGGAAGTATTCTAACCTGCAGTCAGTTATTATGTATAGGAGGTGAGCTAGTTCACAAGCTTGTACCACAAAACAATATCACTTTTAACTGTTCTAAAGCAAAATTTCCCACATAAGCTGCAATTTTTGTCTTTAGTCCATCATCATTTTCTGCCCACCCTCTAAAAATAAACTCTGTTGAAATTATTCACTGATGCAAAACATGAACGTGTAAAATGACAGAATTGAGCCTTAACTTCAGGTTAATTTGCAAGAATCAGGAAAATTCCTTCAACTGCATTGCATCCTCTTGGACCAGAGCTAGAAAGGGACCTAAGGTATTCTACAATCCTCCCTTTAAAAAAAAAAAAAAAAGCGGTTGCTATTGAGTCAATTCCATCTGATAGCAATCCTATGGGACAGAGTAGAACTGCCCCATAGGGTTTCCTAGGCTATAATCTTTACAGGAGCAAATCGCCAGGTCTTTTCTCCTGCAGAGCCGCTGATGGATTCAAACCATGCCCTTTCGTTAGCAGCCAAGCCCTTAACCACTGTGCTACCAGGGCTTTTTACAAGCTCCCCTAGTTACCTGTAAAATAGAACTTTTTTAAATTGTGTTGCCACCACTCCTAAAAATTTAGCAATATTTAAATAAAACACTAATGAAGTAAGAAATTTTGCTTCTTATTTTACAACCAGATACTCTACTCAAACACAAACCAGTGCACCACAAACAAGTTCCAGTTGAGAAACACTAAGGTTGTGGTGAATACACTATAGGAGCTCCCCCGACCCCCACCATAGCTATTTTATACTATTCGGGGGGGAATTTTAAATGTCATCAATTTAAAGAGTGGTGAGTTGCATTTTGTTTGTGGGTTTTTGTTTCCGACTCAATTTCATGTCACCAAATTCTTCATTTATACTTGGGAAAAAATAAGGCCATATGTAAAAACCCTTTCAATGCCTAAGTGTCTTTCTCCTGCAGCTCCAAACCCAGACTTGCCACATTAGGTGCACAGATGATTAGGTCAACAGACTGATTCTACCTGTCGCCTTGCCATGTAGGAAGTTTCTCATTAGCTGGAAAAGAGTATTTTTCTAACATATTGCAAGAAAAAGCCAAATCTTCTTACCGAATAAAGACAAGAAACAAAGCGTGGTTACCTGTACCTAGCATAGTACAATCAGAACCTTGTGGAGACCACGGGGGACAGGCTCACCAACGCTGGCCGTTCTTCCCACCATGATCTTTCCATGGTGATTCATTGCCAGCTGAGGGGATGGCCTGACCTCCCTCTCTCCCCTTCCCCAACCCCTTTCTCTATTGCACACAGGACATCAGTCTTCAAGGAAAAGGACTTTTTTTCCAGTCTGCCAGTCATATTGGGAAAGTGCTAGCCATGCTTACCTTCATGGGCATGTTTTAGTCAGCTCATCTGAGAGCCCATCACAGTTCTTTACTCAGCTCATCCATGTAAATACCCAGTGTGCTTATGAGTTAGTTGGTAGACGTTTTCATTTGTTGGAGTTACTGGTTTGGGCCTTCCCGTTTAGAAAAGGAGCAGAGAGCTATCAATCTGGATTGATGGAACAAAAGAGAACCTCTTCCATGCCTAGAAAACCTTCAGCCAGCCTCCAAAAGTTGAGAGACCAGCTTTCCCCCTTGAGGTATTTCCTCTGGGTCTTTCTCCAAGGTCTCCTCTCTACAAAGCACAACACTAATGTATGTTTTGTTAGAACTCAGTTCAAGTGCCCCTATTTATTTCAATAAGAATACAGTACACATATCCCAGCTGCTTATTGTTTGTCGTCTTTATTTAGTCGTTATTTCTATCTTCCGTTATCCCTTGTCCTTTTCCACCCCTCTTAAGAGTTACGCTAGTGAATCTTCCTCCATGTATACTTTTTGGTTTCTGAAGGCAGCGGTTAAGGGCACAAGGACAGACATGGGGACATTTATGTAAATAAATCTCTCTCTAATCGCCACACTGCAACTGAACAGTGTGTAGTATTTTCCCAGTCAGCTTTGCAATACTGACAGTCAATCATTTGAGAGAAATTATTCAGATTTTATTTTTGTATCTGTGGTAACAAAACATTAACCAAAAGATTTTCTGTTTGGAAGCTTCCCCCTACCCCCAAGCTATTTGCTCACATTAACAAATTAAAGTGCCTGAAGCATAATTCATTCTTTACCTGTATACTAAAAATCCCTGTTGTATTGATTTTTTTATAATAAGCCTTTTTACCTCTGTGTAAAAATATATATATACAAGTGTATGATGTACATTTTAGTTCTTAACTTTTTTTTATGGTTTCTAATATGTATGACCAATGTAGCCGTTGCTTTAAAATGTACCATGTAAATATAAACACATCCTATCAGATCACTGTCTTTGGGATATTTGTCTGGCTGGAGACAGGGTGGTGGTTGAGCCTCAGGCATTCTTGCATACAGGCGTTCTTGCACACAGGATGGGAAAGGGTTTCCTTCGGAGAAGGACGTGTGCACACCGGGCTGTTTTTGTGAGGAGGCCCTTCCCGCCTAGGTTTAGGTCATATTCCCAAGGGCACACTGAAGCTCCTTGGGCTCGGATGCCTCAAGCAAAAGGAATGCTCTGTGTCAAAGCCCCGGGAACACCCCCTCTTCCTAGGCCTGGCTTCCCCCACGTGTGCTCCTCAGAGGGAACAGCTGTACTTCCTCTGAGTTGTTCTCCACCAATTCCTGCTGACCTTGGGGTAGGGGGTGTCGCGTTTGGAAGACAGTTTTCTCACAGAAAACAATTGTTAAAACTGCAAGACCCTTGGTCTCTGAAGAGCATCTCTATTTCAGTGAAATTTGGCTCACTTCCCCTTCCATTGGGCTCTGTGGATGCTCAAAAGTTAACAGTGACAATCCCCTAGAGGAAATACAGTGTGGGGCTTTTTAAGGATCACAGAGGAAAGTTCAGCCCCTTCACTAGAGAACCAAGCGAAGCAGTTGCCACCCACATCGACTCCAACTCACGGTGACCCTGTGTGTGTCAGAATAGAATGTTTTACCGTCAGGTTTTCAGTAGCTGACTTTTTGGTAATACATTGCCAAGGCTTTCCTTTGAGGTACCTCTGAGTGGGCTCAAACCACCAACTTTTCAGCTAGCAGCCGAGCAGGTTGACCATTTATACTACCCAGGGACTCCGGAGAACTGAGTAAGGTCCTTAAAAAAGAGGGTTTTTTTAAAACTCTTCCAGAAAGGGATGACTTTCCCAAGCCTCTGGGCAAAAGTGAAAAGCCAAAGGGAGAACTTGGAGAGCAACGCCAGAGCTGGAGGCGAGTAGGAGACCTAAGATCTCACTCAACCCTCACAACCCCATGCAGCTTCTGCCATTTATCCCTGATTTATAGTTGAGCAACTGAACCTTGAAAGGGTCAGTCACTAACATAACCTGCAGTCACACGAAGCACGGACAGACTGAGATTGAGCCCTGGCCTCCTCTGCCTCCTCTCCAACCCCCTTTTGTGTTCTTAGGGAGCGGGAGCACCTGCATCCTGCTTTCTTGCCCCCCTCAGGCCATCTCAGGAATAGCATAGGTGTCCCTAGTGCCCTGTGTGCTAGGCCAGGAGCTGGGAGCACCACACACATCATCTTCTTTAACCCTCTGCTGAGTGAAAACACATCGTTGTTGTATTGATCTGAGTCTTAGTGATCCTATAGGACAGTAGAACTGCCCCATAGCCAGTGTCAAACTTGGCAATAAGCAAGATAAGCATGGGCTTACTTGTGCTTACTTACTGATCTGTAGTGAACAATTTCACGTGTGTTTCACCACAAATGTATTTGCTACAAACTAGTCAATAAGCACAAGTACCCCATGCTTATCTTGCTTATTTGGTAATCCACCTCTGTGCCATAGGGTTTCCAAGGCGGTAGGTAAATCTTTAGGCAGCCAGCTGCCACATCTGCAGACCGGCTAGTGAGTTCGAACTGCTGACTTCTGTTAACACCGGAGTGCTTTAACCACTGCATCACCAGGGCTCCTCCTCTGCAGAGCATAGAGTGTATTTCTGCTTTTTAGGAGAGAAATTACAGAGCTCAGCAAGGCCGCTGGAGTGTGTCCGCTGCTACCAGCCTTTAGCGCATGGACAGATGACCACTTTTCTGAGCCTCTGGTAATACCTAACCTCACCCTGTTATGAAGGTGAAGTGATGTGCTGAAATTACAGTGTTGTAAACAGGAGGTGCTCCATAAATGCTAGTTTCTTCCTCAGTTCTTCCTTTATCCAGGACTCCAAGAAGTGGAGATTACAGCCTCTTTCCAAGCACAAGAGGCCGAAGTGCATTGTGGACGTTTTGTGAGTATTTGGATCTTCAACCTATACGTTAAGGTTTTTTTTTTCCTATCTGTAATTCTAAATTTGGTTTTGATTCCTTTCTGGCCCTCCCAGAATATGTTAGTGACCAAGTGACAGCTGCAGAAGGGCACAGGCTGGCTGGGCTCCTTGGGAGCTGAGAAATGCAACCTAGGGAGGGCTGGATCCGGCTCAGCCAGGTGGGAGCACCTGCCTTGCTGAGAACAGCCGGCTCTGACTTCCGGCCCCCATCTGGGGCCTTCGGGGTGCCACTGCAAGTCACTGCCCTAAGTGCCCTCCCCAAAGATTAGCATCCCCCAGAAAATCAGGATCTTCCCAGGGGAAAAAGTATTGCTAGAAGAAAAAAGTCCCTGTTTTACAGGGACTCACAGGACCATTTGTTATTTTAAAAGCAGTCAATCAATAGCAGGGCCTTCAATGTAAATTCAGGCCAGAGCTTGTAAAAGGGAGCCTGCCATTTATAGGTGTTCTTATTGTGAGCCTGTTGGGCTTTCTCATTTGTGGGGTGAAATGATGTGTGACTGCTGGTTAGAAATAACCACTACTTGTTTGCTTGTTTAGGCCTGAACCAGATGGGTGGAATGAGGGAAGATGACTCTGGTGACATCCTTTTTTGTATGTGGTAAAAAAATATGTGTATATAAGCATTTGCCAATTCACCATTTTTT